TGATACATCATATCATATCAATTCACACGATTAATTGGCATCGATACGCATAATCGTAACGGCCGCCCGCCGAAACGTAATAACCTAAAATCAACAAAAACGTTTTCGCGCGCCGCGTCACAACAATGGCGGACACGCGGCAATGTTCACGCCGCTCGCTCGCTGAATGACTTAGCCCTAATTTATACAGGACTAATTTCACGCTCGCTCTTAGTTATTGTGAGATTTTGCGATACCATGTCACGGTATTCGACACGGCTGGTTAATGCTCCTCGATTGAGACGTCATCTTTTTTTTAATATCCATCCACAGTGCGTTTTGGTAATGCTAAATTTCTTCATGCTTTTAAACCTTACTTACTATTTTATTTTTAAATTTTCAGTTTTTAAAGCTAATTGAAAGGTATAAAATTAATTCGAGCGTTATTTGCCCTTGACAATGCTCGCGGTCGATATACGAAAAAAATAATGGAACTTTTTTCTTTTCTGTAAAGAAAGTGTTTGTCTAAGAACAATATGGAACACCGCAGCGGGACATCTAGATACGCGGGGCCAGAGTATTTTCTTAACAGAGTTTTTGTACCATATTTGCACTCATGCCTCGGTTGAATAGCATTGGATCCTTAATTTACGCATCGATAGATTTATTCTGTAGTTTCGCATTTGTAAGGGATTGTTCTTGGACCGTTTCGTAACATTGCATTTTCTTGTTCCCTATTGTGTAGAGATTTTTATTTAGACTCGCGGAGTGCATTGTGTTGGCCTGATTATAAAGTATAATGCAACGCTTTTTAATTAAACGTAGCTATTATGAGATTATTAAGAAATTCATGAAATTAAATTTACCAATTTAATTTACAAGAAAACATAAGTTACAAACAGTTTAAAAAATATGATAAAAAAGATTTTTCAAGTTTGTTACTCTGCATACGTTATATATGCCCTTAATTATGAGAGGTTTTGTTTTTTACCTTTAGTATACTAACTGTATATTAAGGCGAAGCACTTTGTTAGTCTATTCTAATATACTAACTACCTTTTGGATTCAAAATTCCTTTCTTTATTTCTTCTACATGAATAAGCCTTAATGTAGACCTGTAGTCTTAACCAAATGTGGTCACAGAAGGCGCAAAAGGGCCACAATTATGTAACAAAAGATCCTTTAGGATCTTCTGTAAAGATGTTTCTCGATGGAGAAAATATTCTGAAAATTTAATCGTTCCTCACATTTGCTAAAAGTTTTTAAGACTATAAAAATAAATCTAGACCTGTTGTATCCTTATTAAACGGAAAGCTAACCCTTGTTTAAATCTCACCCTATGTACCTAATCGATCGAGTTGAACTTACCACCGCACCACGTGAGGTGTGACGTAACCTTTGAAAAAAGCGCATATTCGCGAGCGTAAGGCCGGGGTAAGCTAGAGCACAGCTGCGTCGCCTTACACGCTTCGCTGCCGGCTCACAACATCCCGCCGACTAAGTAACGAATGCTTTGTGCATGCCGATAGATTACATGGTGTAAGACACGAGCGACAGCGGTTTAAAGACCAAAGGTACTTAAGTGATTTCCAGCACAACGGCTTATGTTTCTCTTTTGAGTTAAAAAACTCTGATTTACAGATAAAATATCTGGCAAACATGCTGATTAACAACGATACTATGGGCAATCTTTGCTGGTAATCTTTTCGCTGGTTTGTTTTACTATTCCACTTTTTCTACTGAACGTACCGTATTATGGAAATATTTATGTCTAACTAGCTTTCGCCCGCGACTCCGTAAGCATGTAATTTACAAAAAACTAGGTAGCCTATGTATTCTTCCAGACCGTCCTCTCCGTCTCTAAATTTCATCGAAATCCGTTCAGCAGTTTAAGCTACAAACTCTAACAAACATCCGTCCAACCAAACTTTCGCATTTATAATATTAATAAGATTTGTATATATGTAATATTTGACTTTATTCTAAACCTATTCTACAACTACAAAGTATAATCTCTTGTTACTTGGACCGATATATCACATTAAAAAAGGATGAGAATCCCTTTCACCGATAGGTTACAGATTAGATCGGTCCGCGGCCAATTTGACGCGCGCTGTCTTCCGCAAACCGCGCGCTTTTTGTGTTTTTTTTACTTATATCACTTTGCCGCACGACGTTATCGATGGAATAAAAAGTCGCACATGTTTTTTTTATTTCTCATACACTAGTAAGACTATCAAGTCTACCGTTTATTATAAAATGCTCGATTGCAATTAATTATAAAGATATGGGTTTTATTTAAAATTGATTTTAGGCTCCTCTTATATGTCTATAGATAAAAACCTATTGAACCCTTATTTAGTTATTGGTGTATATTGTATGAATTATATGTCCATTCCTATTTAATTACATAAATATCCCCCTAACTCCCCCTTCAGTTCTTTGGGTTATTTAAATACCGCGAAACAAAAACAATGGATTTAATATTTTGTTGAATATAATGATATGTACCCTTCGCCGCCTCCGGCAATGAATTCATAAACATAGTCCTCTCTGAATGTATAATTGTGTTGCATTTGTAATCATCTGGTAAAGGGGAACATCAAATCTGCTACGAGTAGACGACTATTATTTACTAAATATGTAGTCCTAAAATTATCAGAGAGTTGCTTGCGACTTCGTCTACGTGAAATTTAAAATTATAACCTATGTTACTCACAGATAAATTACCTTTCTAATGGTGAAAGAATTTTTTAAATCGACTTAATAGTTTTTACGTGAAACGGATACATGCAAATATACAAATATTTTATCTTTATAATATTAAAGAATAGATATCACATGAACAAGTAAGTAAGTTCGGTTTTCCTCTGCCTTTATTCTGCCTTCTATCTCACGAAGGCAGAATAAAGGCAGAGGAAAACCGAAGAGAAGTAAAGGACAGGGAGACTCATGATGATTATATATGCTTAAATAAAAGAGAGGGCATAATTAGCCGTTGTTAATTTAAATTGATTGTTTATTTAAAGGGACTGAAGGGTTTTTTTCTTGAAGTTGTCATCCCAAAGTCCTTATCTGTACTCACTAATACACCAGAATGTTTAAACGCAATATACTAATATTAATTTCATTTAGTTCTTATTTCATCTTGTAAGTTTAACAACACGACTTTGAAATATAAGAAAATATCAATATTTTCAACAAAATCTCTTTAAAGCAACCTCTTTACTTATCTTAAATAAAAAAAATCGAACATTCGCCGATGCTAAAACAACACGATGCATCATAATTTCCCCCGCCGTTGTACGATCTTCCCGCGCACGCACCTTTTCTAGCCTCTTCTAGCACAAAGCTTTACTCATATGCTCTGTCTCTTTCACGTCGGGGCGTGTTCTGTTTTCTGATTGGTGGGAGGGAGAATGGCGTTTGGCGCCGTCGGCAGCCTCCCGTCGGCATTTTCCCGACGCGTTCGGAAATCGAAAATCGGCAAGATGATACGTTTGAAAATTTCGTTTTAAAACATTTTAATGTGTGTTAAAAATATTTTTAATTGATTAGTATTTGTGTGATTATAATAATAAATTCGTGCTGTGAAATGTGTGCAATTTGAAAACAATAATTTGCAATCAATGTAGGTGTAATGTTAGATTAGGTAATTTCTAATAAAAAAATCCAATTATTTTTAATTATGACGTGAAAAGGTAGTGTTGTGTAAATGCTTATTTTCTATGTTAAAAAAGAGACGTATTTCATAGAATTCTTGGATAAGTTAATTTTAAAACATAATAAAGTAAATAAATAAGTTGTTTTAACTCTTTTTGTCTTTATTACATTGAAAATTTGAATATAGTATGATATTCTATAGTGTTTTATTTCTTCTGATATATGATTTAATGAATGTTGCCCAATATTTAAAGTTTTGCTTGTGTAAAAGCATTTATCTATTTTTAATCCACTCTCATATTAAAAAAAAATTAAATGAACTGAAACTAAATACAAATTGGTGAACAATAAAACAGTACTTTAATATTTACGATTAATTTGGCGACATTTAATAAAGATTTTAACCTTGTTGTAGATCATATTTATAGTAAAAGCTCCATCTTGTTGAAATAATTCAATTCTAATGACATCTACATAATAAGAACTGACAAATTTTAATTATTTCACTAATGAAATTAAAATTTACTTTAGTGAAAAATGACTAACGAAATATAATGCCTTACTATGTTCTAAGTTGTAAATCAATAAGAAAACTATTAAAACAATTGTAAAATGTAGAGTCGAAAAAAATATGCTAAAAGGTCCTGAACTATAATCAAATATTTATAAACAGGTATATATTTTATCTCACTTACTTATCGTAAAGTTACCCTAACTTAAATTCTCGAACTTATTCTAGTTTACATAATAGATCAATGTAAACTGTAATTTCGTCTACAAAATATTTGCTACAAAAATCAATCGCCCGTTTACCGCATTGAAGTGGCTGTAAGGGCGAGTACACAACACGATGCCAATTACACTGTCATACTAGGGAATTCTACAGACTGCGCACGCGCACACAATTTAAACATCACACTAATTAATAAAATTTAAGGGTCATGTTCTTATAATCTACATATCTTGGGTTCTTATCCATTTACAAATGTGATTTTAAAATTTCATATGAACAAAATGTACTAATGTTCTTAAGGTGAACGAAAACATCGTGATGCAACCTGCATATCAGTAAAAAAATTGGAATATATGTGAAGTCAACCCGGAGTGGGCTAGCAGTTGACTATTACCTCGTCTTCCCTTACTCAAGCTAGGCTCCTAACCTCTTAATGGGGACGTAGTGAGCTGGTGATGAATATAAAGCTTCATTTTAGTTAAAAAAAATTGCAGCATAAGTACCCTGTTGTTTCAGCTTGTTTTAATTTTGATAAGAAATGGTCGAATTTAAGGAAAATAAGAAATTAAAATAACAAATGTTAGATGTCAATGTCGTTTATTGTTTATGGATTTATTTTAAAAAAATGTTGAAATGAATGATAGAGACACGTTTGTTACTTTAATTAGTTAATACGAACGGCGATATGAAGATAAAATTGTCCGATATGTTTCTTGTTATTACTAATGTCCATTGAATGTCACTATACATCCCTTAACTTGAGCCCATTGTTTAGGCGTGTTAAATATTGTGCCTTTACTAAATATTTTAAAGTTATTGACAGGCATCGAGGATGTTTCCTACTAACGTATTATACAAGGCTGAAACAAATGAACAAAGTATTGTAAGATTGTTTCCGTTGTATAAATTAATGACGACATTTAAAGATTTCAAGTAAAGTCTTGAGTAGTAAGCTTGGTTACTAGCAAATATATAACTAGAATTTGATATTTCATAATTAAAATAATTATTTTACCCGAAGGAAATTTTAAGCCTTTTCCGTAAGTTAGGAAAATGGAGTCGTCTAAAGCATTCATACAAAAATCACACCTCGCTAAGAGCATTACGGGGAGCGTTTATAATCGGCTAAATATCGAATTGTTCCATCTATTGTTTGAAGGGCTTAAACCTCCCGTACCCTACGGAATTGGTTTCGAGAGTTTTAAGCCTACCGCCTTCGGAAAAACTTTACTTTCAACAATAAGATTTGGACCCTATTCAAAACAAAGTTGGGCTCAATTTTAAATAGCGAAGCTTCACGAACGATTCCTGAAAAGTGAAAGCTTTCCAACGCAAGGTATTTAGGTTTAAACTCCTATTGAAAGAGGTGAAAGTTTTGGGGGTGTTTCGGTTGAGTTAATTTAAGCTCTGTGTGCTGTGAGTTAGGGTGTTTTTTGGTTGTACCGCGAGATTTGTACGCGGAGGAGTGTTGTGAAGATTGTGCAGTAACGAGTCTACATACAGGGTGTAATTGTATCGGGGATCACGATCGACCCGCGGCACTTTAGTGATGGGAGCATGTCGAATTTAAAAATTTGTTGCTACTAAATTTGAACCTTAAGGCTTTTTTTTAACACTTAACAAGGACTACGACTATAAATTCTTGCAAAACTAGACTAAAATAATAGCCGTAAAATATTTCAATACAGAAATCCTTTATTTAAGTAAATTGGTTTTACACATTTTATTATTCAGCGACGTGGAAAGCGATGGCCATAACGTGGAAGGCATCGTAATACCTTGGTTCTATCAAAGGACTGACAAACCGATGGTGATGATGAAACTCATGACAATTATAATAAAGCACGTGAATATAGTGTCGTAAGAGGATTAAAAGGTTCACAATAATACTGTTAGGGCTCTTTATTTCTGTAAAATAATGTTAAAGCTCGTCCGTATCTCCGTGAAGCCAAGATATTATACATTTTCCACAGAGATAATTATGGTATTACGTTTTAATTTTGGAATTAACTACTAAATCAAAGGATAATTTCAATATGCTGCTATACTAAATTTAATATCACCTCTTCAAAAATATTTTCTATCTACTGACATTTGCAAAATTGTCATTATAATTACAATAAAAGTAAAGACTAACAATCAGTAATTAAAAAGTTTTAGCCAACAAATAATGAATACGAAAAATCGACAATCTACGATATTTATAAAAAAAATGTCATGTGTTCATAAGGTTCAATTTCAATTGCACAATTTTTATCGATATCCTAGACACTATTTCTATTTCTATGTCACATCACTATTTCCGCGAAGGGGTCCGACCCTGCGTTAGGGCGACGTCACGGGGGCGGCTATTTATTGAAGTGTGCCGTTTTATTTTTATTTGTTTCGCCCTTTGTTATAATTGTTACTTAATGATCGACAGATCGAAATTGTCCCTTCTATTGGAGGTCAATGTGACAGACGTATGCAGTAATTCCCTTATAAAAGATATCTTTAGATATCTTTAGTCGCAATTATAGTTAGTTACATTAAAAGAAATATCAGGTACGAAATAAGTTTGGTGTGTAAAGAGTATAGTAATACAGTTCTCTTGAGAATAACTTACTAGTCTTTAAAACCATAGTTTGGGCAAAAAAGACCTTATGATGCAGATGTCTATACTATTATTAAGGAAAGATATGTATTTTAGATATGTATTGACATAACTCAAAAATTACTGGGTGGATTTTAAAAATTTTTTCCTCGTTAGAACCGTAATTTATCTGTGAGTAACATAGGATATATCTTTTAATAATACACGGACGACGTTGCAAGCAATAGCTAGTCATAAATAAAACAAGAAGGTACGTAGCATTTGAACACCGAATTCTCTGTGTATACCATATTTTTCTCCTTAAACACTTTTCACATACAATAGAACTTCAATATAAGAAAGTTATAGTTTTTCGAGTGTTTTTAATTACCTTTTTCCCATAGAAATATTTAAATAATTCGCAATTAAGTGTACTACAAAATACGAGTAACTTGAAAGCCAATCAGGTTTATTTTTAAACCAATGCCAGCGGAGTGTCGTTTGTAAGGCGTCGAGTAGGGTTGGCGATATATACCAGTAATCTTATTACGTGGTAAATAAAAGTGTATGTTATAAACATTATTTGTGTATAATAAAAGAATTTTTTTTTTTTTGATAACATAAAGTGGCAAACGAGCAAGCGGCCACCTGAATCTACCGAAATGAAAAGCCACCGCTACCCATAAACATCCGCAATTACAGATGCGTTGCCTAACCTTAATACAGAGGAGGAGACGCACATAAAGAGGTAATTTTCCCTTCCTATGCGTCTCCTCCACCGTCAAAGCCACTTTTCCATCCCATCCTTTCCTATTAAGTAAAGGGTGGAAAGGGAAAGGGACTAAAATCAGGCCTCCGGCACCACACTCATCAGACGAAACGCGGAATTGCTTCCACTTCACGCCTGTTTTCCGTATGGTCGTGATATATGGTTAAAGCGGGCTCTACCACTGTGAATCTTTATATTAGCACATGTAAATGGTTGATTGTCTAGACTGAAGGTTAAAACGCTGTAGGTAAAACAAAAACTTCTTTAGAAAAGCTTTGATTATTTAGTTAGTTTTATTATTTATTAAACACTAGCTTTTGCAGGCGACTTCGTCCGCGCGGGATTAAAAATAAACAAAAGCAGACTGGTTTTGTTTATTTTTAATCTTGTTCTAGACTGTCCACTACATCTATGCGTAATTTCATAGAGATTCCTTCAACCCTTTAGGCTACAAACTCTAAAAAACTTCCATCTATCCACTAAACCTTCGCATTAATAATATTAGTAAGAAGTAAGATTATTAAATACAGATTTTTATTGAACTCCTAATTTTGTATTTAGCCTAAGGCATTTCGAAAACAGGAGAAATATAACGGTTGTACGCATTAAAGTATTTTATTCATGTAAAATATTTTGATTTGACAAATCATGAATATTCACATAAAAATTATTACTTTTTAATACAAATATACATATAAAATCAACATTAACAACATAACAGTTCTTATCCAAATTCGCGACTTATAGCGCCATCTCTATTTTCGCAAATTCAACTGAAATTATTGTACGAGGTTGCGATCCCGTTACGTAACTCCCAAAGAGGGATAAAAGGACAGAGGGTTGAGATAAGAATTTAACTACCAACCGATAGATGGCTCTGTTGACGTGAAAAAAAAAACAAGTTTATTTTAAGTAAAAGAAAAAGAATTATCCGCACCAGCTAGTTTTATACTTAGATAGAGGTCTTTCAATATAAACGGACATATCTTTTATGTCTTCTAACACCAAAACATACGTTGTTTTGGTAAAATAACAATCCTTTGTCGGTTTGTCGGCGTGTCTGCGTCGGTGCGTTTGGTCGGTCGCTTTATTAAGATTATCTGTTTGCGCAACAAAAGTTCTTAAAGTTTTGTTAATCTCTATCTATTGTAGTGTGGCTTGTGTGAAATAACTCCCTGTTTGATTTTCAGCTTCGCTTGCCTCTTTCACGCTACGGTGGTCGATATAAAAAAACATGAAAATGTCGGAAATACATAGGATTTTTTAACATAAGCACTATATACTACTAGCTGTTCCCGTGCGACTTCATCCGCATAAAATTATGAAAATTTTATTCAAGTCAAGTTATCAATTTTAAATGTCAAAATGACATAACATTATCACAAACTATGGCAACCTTGCTTCCTTGATATTGGCAGCTGTTGTTTATGGTCCCTTTCCCACATGAAGGCGTTTTACCAATTTATTTATCCCTTAAGTTTAATAGCGTCAAAATATAGAGCCTAAAGCGTGTCGTAAGTGTAGGACGTTTTACTAAAGAAAGAATTGGTCAAACATGCTGTGATTGCTGTCATCCTACGCCACAAAGTAGTGTGTGTTTACGTTTTATTATATTAGTATATATTTACTAACTTTTTTATTATCTTTAGTACTCCATTGTTTGTGAATCCTTAGTTCTATTACCAGTCGTCGAGACAACATCGTGTCGTCAAACATTTTAACTCCATAAATAAGAGTTCCAATTAACTATTAAGAGCTACTCGCCTAGTACATCAACATCAGTTCACTATATGTCCCAAATGAGGTGCTCGGAGCCTGCCCAAAGGAAGGAGAGACTAGGTCCTATTCAAACACGCAGGCCTATAAGATAGTTGACTTCACACATAACTTTAAATTGGTTTTTAGATAAGTGCAGGTTGCACCACGTTTTTCTTTACCGTAAGTTCAGCCATTATATATGAAATTCGAAAATCTAAACCTAATAGGTATGTGGCGGGATTCGAATCCAGGACCTGCAAACGCAAGTCCAGTGCTTAACCCTTGAGCCACTGCTCATAGTAATCTATGGTATTCATCATGTTAAAATCCAGCATCAAAGTCTCAGTCAACAACTATACTACGAGCATAAAATAATTACGCCCAACACGTCTAGTTCTTAATTACCCAGCTGTCCCACGACGTATCAGTTTTTGATAATCTTCATAATCCCACCCCGTTACCTGAAGTGTTATTATGGTGGGGTGAGCGGGGAGGGGGTAGGTATAAAGAAATCCTATTTTCATAGTTCAGTTCACGCACCGCCGTAATTTTGTTATTACGCATCAGCGCATTGGGCTTCTGGTAGCTGTAGAGTACACTTAACACGTCTTGATACTTGAAACTGTAACTGCTAAGTGTATGGTCTTATATACCAATCTGCAACTAAAAAAGTAACATCAAACTGACAGAACATCATCTGTTAATTGGTAATTTTAGTAAACATTTACAAAACAGTAGCTTTTGCTTGCGACTCCGTCCGC